GGCTGCGCTGTAGTGCTGTCACACAGGCAGGAAGGGGGAGGGTTAGGGGTAGGGGAGAGAGCAGAGGGATTGTAGAGGGATAGATAGAAGAGAGGGAGGGGGGACGGAGAGCAAAACAAAGCAGCCATTTCTGTTGCAGCACTGAGAGGTAAACAGTGGGCGAGAGACACAGGGCACAGACTGTAGAGCGGCAGAGAGAGAGCGAGAGAGCTATCAGCTGAGCAGCAGCACTCCTCCCTGCCTTCACTTCTGAGGTAGACTTTGCACCATGACAGCTGGAGAAGGTAAGACTGGAAATAGAATGAATTTTCTCTTTGCTGAGGTCACATCCCTCACATGTATATAATACAGAGTGTAATGGCTCAAAGACGATCCTCCCCCTGTGGTTTGTTTATGCATGTGGAGGGGTGACGCAGGACTGATGGTAAAAAATAAATCTCAGTTTTACATCTCTAATGTAATCCTCTTTTTTACAGTTTGTTTATTTTCTGCTGCAAACTGCATTTGGACTTTGGTTACGTAATACAGCAGTGTGGGAAGGAGACACCTGTCCTCTCATATCTCTAGTATTTCTCCTGCATGGATTTGGTATCACAGGACAGTAATATACAGTATGTATTGCCTTAATGATCTATGCTGTGGAAACAACGAATGCCTGAAGTGACGGCTCGCCTGAAGCATCTTACACTTGCCTCATGTCGGTCCAGCACCAAACGAGCTGAGAGAGTTATCGTCAATATGTAAACTGCTCCAAATGGCTCTCTACAGAACATAGCCAAATGACACCAGGAGATTTTGGATGTACAAGTGGAGAGTTTGTCTCAAAACTCTGTGTGTGTATGCTGTAAAGACAATCCACAAACAGACAATTCAGATCCAAAACACATTTTTGATCCACATATACAAAATGGATTCACAAATGCCTGATCGAAAGTCTTAAATATTGGAGAGATACTAAAAATTCCTTTTGTTTATTTGCAAATTAATTATAGTATTCACAAATCTTTTTTTAATTTCTGGAATTATTTCGAATTAAACACAAATTATTTCTCTGTTCACACAAATATTATTGAGACAAATCTACCCCCATACATTTTCTACCTGGACCCTGAACAGTTTGGTCCTTACCGCTGAATGAGTTGTTTCGGCAGCATTTCAGACCACTCTCACAAATGAATTGCTCTCACCATCAGCCTCTTAGTGTAATGCAGTAGAGTAAAACCCCAAAAGTGCACAGATCTCTATTAGAGCTCACGTGTTTTATTAGGTTCATTCACTCATACAGACCACTGATGAGAGTATATATTATTCATGCTAATGTCAGTAGTATAGAACACAATGTAACAGTTACACAAATAAATGCATGCTGCTATATTATATTTTTAAATGACCTTATGTGTGGATTCTGAAATAGACAAATGTACGCCTGCGTATTGACATTTATCTGAGCTGGTTCCACTTTGGCCAAATATTGACAAATGCAACTGACTGACAATATTTGTTATCAACATGCACACATTAATGAATGGCTTATGTCGCTTTATCACTTCATGGTTTGGTATGTAAAACGTCGGCAAATA